AACGCGTGGGACCGCTGCAGGCGACGAATCAATCTGTGTAAACACATGTACATATTATGTTGACGCACCACAGTTTCAGAAACAGCCCGTCAAGTGTAGTCGGAGCCCCGTCCCGAATCGGGGGAGCTCGAACACTGACGGGGCAAGTGATCGCAGAACGACGTGGAGCGTCATCGAAGTACCATACGTTAGACTATCGCTGACGAGCGCGACAGAGATACAGCGCAGCTGCAGCTGCACAGCTCGCGCAGCTGCTCACGAGTGGACTTGCGCCCCGATCTTGCGCACTTCCCCATGAGAACCATCTCTGCCCTTTCCGTCGGAGCCTCGATGCCCCCTCGTATACAGATCAGGAAGGAGCTAGATGATCCGCGAGGAAATCACCAGCGGGAAATCTTACCGAGAAACAGAGCGGTAATCAATCTGAATCTACAAATCAGCATCGTAACGTCTCGCGACAACCGGATCAGGCATTGATCGGGCTTCATGATAAGGAGCCTCGCGTATCGAAAGGGACCAGCATTCAAAAGTATTTTCGCTGCGAAGACCCACGTATGTTTCCCCAATGGAGACATCAAACCCGCGAGAAAGCGCCCGATGAGTCTCAAAATCGGATGGAATCGATTGGGAGGAATAGAGGAAACCGATTTCTGTTTTATCCACCCATGGAAGGAGCCAACCGAGCAATTGAGAGCTTAGGAAAACTCCATTAAGAATATTGAGTTCGACTTGCCATCTAGATCATCTGAGAGTAGTGCGCGGATGTAAGCCAGCGTGTAGCCCTGACTTTGTTTCCCAGTGTCATCGCTTCAAGACCACGGGCTTATACATCTATTGTATTGGCGACGGCTACCGGGACGCGGTCGTAGGATCGTAGAAGAGAGCGAAAATTTTCCGGAAGATTTCAGGGAGGACATCTCGCTGTCTTGTCTGGATCTCGTCAGCTGGAGGCAGTGGTACTACGAATATTGATTAGCGATGAGAGCCCCTTATGCGGCATTTCGATTACAGGGGAGCTTCGGGAGGGATGTCGGGTGAATTGACGGGCTGAGGACCCACATACCCCACTCAGTATCTTCAGGAAGTCTTAGAGCATCTTCGGAAGTTTCGTTCTGCACTCAAAGAAGAGATTCTACAGAACTACTTCACAAGGATAGTCCTACAATTGTCGATCCCGCAATCTCTTGGTTTCCGCTCTGTCCCGAGAGTCCGGGAGCTTCCAGGAACCCATAGTGATTCTTATTGGTGATTGAGTCTGGACTCCGAGTTTTTGCCGACTGTGCGAAGACAATTCCGAGCATCGATGTATCTTGATACGCAATCGCGATCTCTCGCTGCAAAGGGTTGTACCTAGATGGACTCTGTCAACCCCGTCCGAAATTAATTTCGAAGCGTCTCTACTCTCTTCCCCATTTCTTCACCTCAGCCCCTCATCGCTCCCCGAATGATTTCCAACCATGGAGTGCTTGGACATTCTGATGGACTCAAGAATTCACACTCGAAGCGGAATGCCCAAGAAATATCAATGGTGGAATACCTTGATTTCCCGCCTAACTGTGGGAATCATACGGAGCTGACCGGTTCCTCGATCGACCCGCAAGTCTAGCGCTTCGACAGAAACTCGTATTCAAACTCCGGTTGCTCTTGCCCATCATTCAATCGGACCCCATGAGCCTGCCAGAAGCTTTGTATCGGACCACGCGTGGCGCGTCGCCAGACCTGTTCGCGACGCCCCCGACCTTCGAGCCCTATTCAGTTTAAATTCCATGTTGAATTGAAGCCCCGTTTCATCATTGCAGATAAGGGAGATATCGAATCAATCGAATCAGTGACGCCGTCTCAGCACTCGCAACACCGAAGTTTGCGCTCAACGAGCAAGGGATATCTTCCATACAGGCCGCGATCTGATACGGGTAAAACCACCTAGTGGTATTCTCGCTCGTCTGCATATCCATGGAGGAAACCCGGACTGAAGGCCCACGGGACACGGGAGGTTCATGGAAGGGTGAGGGAAAGGTAGAGATCTGGAAGTTCTTTACAGAAGAATTCCGGGCCTCCCGCCTTCCATCCGGGCGCGGAATCATTCTTATTGGGGTATTGCAATTCCCGCGGGAGGTTCAGCGGAATCGGAAACCTCGGTAGTGCAAGTGAGTCCTTCCCGTCAGACATCCACATCGCCAGCCGACGAGCACTTTGAGTCCCGTTGATTGAATCATGAATCCCCAAGCACGGCGCTGATCACTTCCCCACGTGGGTATGGACTACGGCAGCGGTTCTCGACTTCCTTTCTCCTACGTCTTCCCTCATTTCCATGGCGAGCGTTCGGGTCCCCTCGGAAGATCATCGAATATATCAAAATACAGAGTTTTTCTGTCCGAAATATGACACCGTGTTGTTCTTTTCGAGAAATACAGTTTCGTCCTTCATTGCACCTTTATAATGAGCTGAATAACTTTTCTCAAAGATAGAATCAGTTCAAGCGGGCATTTTAGGAATCCTCAGCGTCTCTCGGGGGGACGCGACTTTGAGAAACGCTGGAATACGGTATTGCAGTCCTCACTTACGCGTCAAAGTCAGATTGCCGAATCTCGATCGCCTCTGCAGTAGACTCGAACGCAGCTGCATGCGTCCTCCATCGTTGTCGCTTCCATCTCATGTCTATCTTCCTCCCTCGCGTCTCCTGTCTATGGAATGCCCGTTCCTCTCATGCCTCCCCGTCACCGTATGATCCGAAACCCTTCAAGTGCAGCTGCGTCCGATCTGTCCGTGGGCATCAGTTACATGAGCCCCACGCTAAACCGGAATTTCTGACTATTCCGGGTCGCGCGCCGATACATTGTTCCTGTATTCACCTCTCCCCTCTACATTTCCCTGAGTTTCTCTCCCATTCGCCGTTCTTCTCGAGGAATATCGGGTCTCCGTCTTACGAGCAAGTGTATGCTGCGCAGGAGTTTGGTTAACGAAGTTTAGCTTATTGTAGCTCATTATAGCTCATTGTATTCGAGTCGGACTTCAACCGCGGCATTTCAGACGGAAATCGTCTCCTGTTAAGAAATGCGGCAGACACGCGTCTGACTTCTGACCGCTCAACCGAGGGCGGAGCGCACGCAATCTCTTAAGACGCTCCTGAGCACCCTGTCCGCGGATTGCTGATGGTTCAGTCTGAGTTGAGATCATGTATCTTGCTCCGAAAATTGCTCTACGGGCCCTCCCGTGATCGAGAGAAATCCGAAGACATGACTAGAAGGATTTCCACGGCATCGGGAACCATTGATTGTTCTCATTCGATTCCGTGGAACTATAGGTCGGGAACATTCTGCTATCAGATTATTCCTGAACAGCGTTAGTACGCTTGAGCTAGACGTGTCCGAGGCAGAGATTGATAAGAGGAAGCCCTAGGGTGCAATCACGACCGGACTCGGCTCTTCCTGCGCTTCCTTTCATCAACCCCCTCTATCGACTGTCGCTTTCAGATGCGTGATTCAATGAAACGCGTGCGGAGTATCTCCCTCAGGGGTGTCGGCCCTTGTGTTAAAACATTCACTTCTAAGATACGAGATCGGACGAACAGAGTCACAGCACGAGAGATTAATCCGGACTTGGAGTCGGAAATCCATCCCACGTTTTGGATTTTGATTCTCCTCGAGTCATAATGTTTCAGATGCACCGACACGATAGTTTGGTGGACAGCGTGGCCAAGCTCGATTCTTCCCGACTCGGGAGACGCGCGGGTTCGAATCCAGAGGCGTAGTCTGAGACCGAGTGGAGAAATTGGGTTTATGGTTATGGAGCTGATAAGTCTCACTTGTACGATCGGGAATGATCTCGTGATCCGTAATAATGATTTCGGGACCCTGAGACGCGCCTCCGGGGAGCAGGATCTCATGGGCATATTGACGATCCAGGAAGTTGGGCCTTCGTCGGTTCACAGGCTGCTCCAACCGCGCCAGATAAATAGTGGAATATAAATGACGAACTACCCGAATCAATGACCGTCCTGGTGCTCCTCGTCCACGTTACTCCCGTCTCAAGTCGTGTACGGCTTCCGATCTCATAGGTCTTGTGATGCTTATCTTCGACTGGGTACTTCGCCGCAGTCCGTGACTCTCGGAGACCGGGCCTGACAGTGTCGGCGGAGCTCGCTCCGCAAAACCCACGGCTGACGAAGCGACGAGCAATACCGCAATGACAGGAACGTGGTGGCAGACGCGGTCACCACAGTTCGTTCCAAGGTCTTCTCGCCTTTTTCCGACGCTCCTATCCGGTCCGGACTTCGGTCGGCGATCGCGGCACCGTTGACAGTCGGAATCTCTCCGGCTCCTACAGCAATCGTCTTTCGAAACGAAATCCCTGGCTCCGAGATCGAGCGAGTGGAACACAGCCCCCGGTGATCGGGTCTCATTCTCTTCCGCAACGACGACATCAGATGCAGCAGCCAGTGTCATTTCATTTCGTTCTCAACGTCAGAGTCGTCGAACCTAGTTTTGCCAACCCGCGTCTCTCAGGGATGTCAAGACCACAGAGGACCAAAGCAGCTCGCTAGCTCTTCCTCGATGTCTGGCGATAGAGAAAGATGGAATCCTCCCCGAGCAAATCCTCCCTCTCCGCCCCTAGAGACACGAGGTTGTGTGGGCTCGTCCTCCCGTCACTTGTGGCATGGGACCGACTTCGACCCATGGCTGGGCGAATAATCGGTAGGCGCCAAATATCGATCATTCATTTTCCATGACTTCGGAACATCAAGGACCGCTGGGATCATCGGCGAATCCCGCTGCCGAAATGGATACAGAAGTCCCGTTAGGCTTCGACACAGCAGAAATTCGCAGCCGAGGGTTTGAACACAGTTACTTGAACTTCCGAATTTAAGGTTCTCCTCTCGTGTTGGCCGAACTTCTCGAGGACACAGGGAGCTTTCAGAGTCAGAACATAGGGAATTAAAGAGGCGATTTCTTAAAACCTCGGGAGATGGCTTCGCTTCGAAGGGAAGAAGCACTTCTCTCATGACGGTGACCTGGCGCGATGAAGCGTCGCTTTTATTTTTGCTTGTTCTCATGCCTCTATCCTTGCACGGTTCTGACAAAGTTCGAATTCGAGAGATCGATTATTATTCTTAGTCGACCAAATGTCAGTAATAAATACAAAAATGACTACTTCTGTATTGGGCAGTACTGGACGTACAAAATAACTCGCCTCTCCTGACACTGCCATCGGGTTCTTCTCCGAGTGTTTGTGGGTTCAATTATCCGGAAGTGAGTTCAACGCTCACAATTATCTCTTTTCTATTATGATGAGTTTGCTCTACCGCCCTTTGTCGCTCTTTATATACAGTATATTCACAAGCTAATCAAATTCGCAGCTTTCGACACCTTTTCGTCAACATCTACATGTGACACCATCGATTCATGCGATGCACACCGACGTCCCCGGGATTCGTTCGACGAGTTTCTAGTCGTTGCGGACGATATGTAGCGAATCGTAGTACAAAAAGTGGCGAAACCCAAACTTCCGAATTCTGCATATAGTTATCCTCGCTGTGTCCTCCGAGAGTTTCGAAGTCGTCGGTAGCTCACAGGGCGCGGATTCAATTGGGCTAGATAACTTCCATTGAGCTTTCCTCGCTCTTCGAAGTCGCGACAGGATTTTTCAGGGGGCCGAAGGGGTCCTCGTGAGCGTTCAGGGAAGCTGCGCTGGTCGTGGGCGGAACATTCTCCTGATTGACGGCCTCCTAGAAAAATCAGAAATCACGCTTATCATGGATAATTGAAGGCTTCTGACAGCGGGCCCGTCGACCGAGGACACCTCATGGTGGGATGAGGTCGCAAACACGAGACTTTGCGGTCAATCATTCGCGTCGGGAAGCTCTTGATTGAACAATCGGTCACGAAGACGACCCTCCTCGAAACTGATAACCTTAATATTTGTATGACAAATGTCCGGAAAGCTCTAGACGTCGAGTCGAACGGAGGAATTCCTTTTCTCCTTTTCCTCTAAATGAAGAGAACACCTACCTGGTCGTCCCAATCGATCTTGAATCTTGTCACCCGAGGATTCGTTGCCAGAATGTTGCGAACGAGTTTCTCGTACACGGGTGTGGCCGGTGGATTTTCCTTGAGTTCAGCATCGGCGTAATCAACGTTGACATAGTACCTGAGAAATCGAGGAGCACTTGATTTCCGATCCCTAAGCACGTGCGAACACTTCCGCATCCTATTCGCCGGCATCTACAGCGTGTAAGCGGCGGAATAGAAAGGATGGCGGAGAGCGATCTTTGCTGTTCCGCTATTCTTCCATCGATCAACTCCTCGTCTTGATCGATGGAATCAAGAGAAAATATCTTCATGAGTTTTGGAGATACATTTTCCGAAGAACTGCTAATCGAATCGAGGCTAAGACTCACCCGACTCTGATGAACTCTTTTTCTTTGTACGAACATGTCAAGAGGACAACTGTGACGCCGACGAGGTCCTGCATCGGGATTCGCGACGGGTTTGGTGGATCCGCGGTGAAGACGAACATATGCCTACCCTCTGGGACCGGTCCGACCAGAATTGTGTCCAACACCTGATTTTGGAATCCGTAATTTTCATCGACGCCGTTCGGGACATAAACTCATGAGACGTTCACTCGAGGACCGACAATCAATGTGAGCCGGCTAGCGGTAATGGATTGCTTCGCCGTACCTGATCATATTGTTCACTTTCCGCACTTCCAACGTAGATAATCTTCCATTCAAGATCTTCTTTGAGGTCCTCTATGCATTCGAAGGTAATTTCGAATTGGAAGGGCTTCAGGAACGCCGAAGGGTTGTCGTATACGAGAACGTTGCAGACATGAACTTTGGCCATCCTGAAATAGACGAGCCGGTATGTGTGAATCGGAAACTCTCCGATCGCCGGTATTTACAAAATAAGATTCCGGCTGGTGGTCTAGAAACTCGGCATGAATCCCTCATCGGAAATTCGTATCTCAAGCCTTGGGGTAACGAATGGCTTTCAAGGTAAGAGGAAATTGTAAGCGGAGATGCGTATGACCGCAATAGCCCATTCAGTTCGACAGTACCCAACAGGTCGGAGCACGTCCCGGAGAAGCGAAAACCGAAAAAAACGCTTTCTACCTTCGATACTGAGGGTGGTTCTTCCTTCAGTTGAATCGGGAAATCGGTCTTTGAAAACGGAGTTTATCACTCGACCTCACGCGGTGATAGACGAGTATCAAACGAACACTGAATGCGAAGTCAATCTCCGATCGAGAATCGGCGGGAAACGATGCGGTAACAAGAGCGTGACAAACCAGCAACTGGTAGATGACAACGTTGAGGCTTCGGTCGGGCGGGAAAAATGCGCCCGAATCGGCAGACACTTCTCTATGGCGCCGGAGCAAGTCCACGAAAGAATGATCACGCTCGAGTGAGAGCTGCATGTTGAGAGAGAGCAGAACGCTGACACAAATCGAATCACATGAAGAGCTGGCAGAGAAGTATATCTCCATACTCGGACGCAGTTTCGCGTGATCCCATCACGGAATATGAGCCTGCGGTGCGGCGCCGGCGTCTCCATAAACGTGGGAGTATATTTGAGTTCGCGGCGACGAACGAGATTATTCTCTCGTGAAGATGAGGTACAGGGTTGGCGGAGTGGTTGGTCCTCCAGTGCTCAACGATGAGTTTCGCTTTGGCGATTCATGGGAGGCCGAAATCGAGTTATCAGAGATACGAGGCGCCATTCGATACGGTGGGATTCTCTCACTTAGTGATGAGAGAATCGCTTTCATGAGCAGGGTCACCAGGACCGGCAATATGGGTCGAAATTTGATAGTTTAGCTGCCCAAATGCAAGGGCCCGTCAGGACGGATAGATTCTTAGCATAGTGTCAGGCGATGACTCGGAATAAAATAGTCAAAGGGTTAAAAACTGAAGTATTCACACTTTATTCTTGAAATCACGCATCGTCCAACCGCGGTGAGCTGCTCCGGCCGGAGGAAGTCTGGAGAACCCGCCCTTTAGTACACACGTCGACGGAGGCTCATACTACGGCGCCATCTGACGTCCTCGAACGAAAGCTTCAAACGTTCGTTCCAGCTGCCGGATAGAGCGAATATTCCATAACTCAGAGATCTCGAGATCAAGGCGATTGAAAGTCGTCGATGATCAGGAATAGTTCCACTGATCCCCGAACTTATCATCGTATTTCCGACTATCCAGAGCGTCCAGCGCGGATGCGACTCTTCTGACAGAAGCTCTGAATCGAATGATTTGGTTATTGACGCGTGATATTGGCCATATAAGATTCGTGGACGGGAGGACACGACAATCACTGTCGACTTAGATGGGAGCTTGATGACGGATTTTCTTGAGACTCCGTCGGAGTAAATTGAAGCAGGTAATTCAATCAGGTACTTACTTTTCGAAAACCCTCTTCTCCAAACGTCGCCGGGTTGTATTTTCAGCTTTTTTGATATCTGATAACCCTTCCTTATCCTGAAAAATGAAATGAATGAGGCGTCGGGTTAGAAGAAGCTCTGCAGGAGGAGCACATGAAGAAATGTCGAATGCATGAATTCTCTTACGGCTGCTCCTGCGACACCAAGCTCACCTTCTTCTTCTTCCTTTGACCTTTTTTGGGCATGGTGAGATCTATGCCGATCTCGGCCTCTATATCCCGCAGCAGCCCGGGGTCCTGCCAATCCAGCTGAGAAGAGGTCGACGGCTGCAAATGTTCTTCATCGGGGTTGCTCGCTCTTCCCGACTCATCTCGAGCGATTATTTTGCCATGGAATGGACACTGAAAAAATGATCTCGGGGATCGAACGCGAAGATCTGCGGAGACATCTGAGTATGTTTGATGTAGGACTGCTTGCGCTTGGATGCGAACCTTAAACCGATCCTTTCGTGGACACAGTTTCCCTGATGGCAGAGGAGCTCTGCAGCTCCATTTAACAGCTTCGAAAGTGCCGCTAAAGTCGATTTTCCTCTCTCTGACCATCGCCTCTCCGATCCGTTTTTGGATTTCGTTCACTTGGTCATCGTCTCGTGGTTTCAGATAGCCATTCGGAGACTCGATCGGGATCACCTGGAAAACGATTTTCAAGATTTCCCGGGAGCTCAAGCTCCGCCCCGTACACTAAACGGAGTTCTTCAGATGTGTGTCATTCCTCATGTAACTCCGTGTCTCGTTTCACTTACTTGAACGGCAGTTTCTAGTTTTTCGTCCTCCCAATGATATAGATCGAGATCGAAATTCCTTTTCGGAGCTTTCTTGAGGAGCTCCTCTTTTCGGCTGGAGACGTGTGCGTCTCGATTCCCTTTCGAGGTTCCTGCGACAGGCTCGACTGGTTTCGGCTCTTTCAGAACTTTCGGCTCCGGTTTCTTGAACTCGTGCTCCTTCTTCACAATGTTCGCCTGCGGGGCTTCCGTCGGCGTCGATTCCTTTCGAATTTTCTTGAAGATCGCATTTTTGGTATCTTCTCCCTTTTTCCGCTTCGCCTGACGAGAGAATCTCTCAACGAGTCGCTTGTATTGAGCGGCTCGAGACGTTGGGTCGATTTCTTCTTCCATTACGTTCCGTTTGGGTTTCGATGAGGTCTTTTCGGGTAGCGGCTCTAGGCCTGAATGGAAGCAGAATCATAATTATTCTGCCTGATTGGTTATTCTGCCTAATTCTGCCTAATTAGTGGAGGAGCGATGTAAATCTTCGTATATTTCGAAGCGATATGCTCGGACAAACTCGCAAGGAATCAACTCACCGTATTCGGCTCTCAAAACGGGCGGTATATGGTCCTCGAGCAGTTTTTCTTCAACTTCTTCGAAGTCGCTTTCATCGTCCGAAGAGTCCCCGCCCTGACCTTCGGTTCTGATAGGAATCTCGATTTTCAAATCATCCAGCTTAGTGTCTAGTCTCTCCATACGTTCCTTGAGATCTATCAGTCGGCGAATTTGCTCGGGCGGAGCTCCGTGAAGTTTGCTCAAACTCTGCGAAAAAGCAGCATGGAAAAGATTTTATCCCAGGCATAACTAGTCCGTGAATGTTGGATAGATTGCTCGGAAGTCGCGCGCGGATGATTATTCCATCTTTCTGAAGTCGTACGTAATTTGTTCTCTCGTCCGGAATACGGACGGGAGGACTTTCCAAATGTTCAGCATTATTTTCCCCACGAAAGCCCTCGAACTGAAAACGGGTTTTCGTTGCCCGCTCGTAATCATGTTTTTTTCGGGCCAATCTAGATCGATACTCACTAATTGTTCTCGCCCACCACAGACCTCTCCGACGTCAACTCATCCGACGACTCAAGGACGCGTTTAATCGCGCTGTCAGTCTCAGATAAGTGGTCACATCGGTTCAGCGTACGTTTCGATGTCCTCTCGACGATTATGGCACCGCAAGTGAGCCTCGAACCGGCTGTCATAAGATCGAGAACTCAGGAGCTCAGAGAGATTTCGAATTTCAGTTCGAAATGAAAGGTTGCAGATGGCTAGTACTTGCAGTGATGATCGCGGGCGTTGTGCACTTCACGTATGCAGCAAAAGGACGAGGCCGTGGTCGATCCCGCAAAGGCTCAGGGAGCTCGCGCTTCATCTTTTTCCAGAACACCAAGCGCAAGGACTACTACGACAATCCAAATGTAGAACAGATTCTACGTCTGGGCTTCTAGTCCTATGTAAACTATACGACTGAGGTATCGACTCCCGTTGCCTTGCGTGAGAATGAGTCAGCTCTCGGCCTCGTTCCAGGGCGCAGTGATCGAAAAAGCTTCCCACTTCGACTATGAATTCTTCCTCGGGCATAAGATCATATTCGTTTGTGTCGCACGGGGACTACCGCGACCCAAAATCACGTGGTTCAAAGACGGCGTCGAGCTCTTGGGACATCCGTATTCGCAGGTCAGTAACAGCAGTCGATTCCCTCCGGGAGACTCCTCGGATCAGCGGAATTTGACGATCCTTGATTTTCAGATTTCCGAATGGCAACAACAAGAGAACCGCATAAAGTCGAAACTCGAGATCGATCCCGCCCGCCAAATGGACTCGGGAAATTACGAGTGTCAGGCAGACAACAAGTACGCCATTGATCAGAGATCATTCCGAGCGGACTTCTCATCTCTACCGAGTTGAAATCGCAGCGCTGACCGTGATACTCCCGTCTGGAGCATTCTTCAAGCTTCAGTACCGACTTTCAATAAAGAGTTGATTCGAACCCAGACGGTTTTTGAACATATGTATGCTACCCATGGAATGATAGTGAATATGATAGTTTCCTCGGCGACTGTCCAGATTGTTGCAGATTAGGAACCGGAGACTCACCTTCAGCCATTTCTGCACTTGTGGTAGGTGGTTGTCTTTCAAGACTTTCCGTAACTCCTTCAAATTGGAAACCAAGTCGGCATTGTCGGATGTTTCGACGATCTTTATCTCCGGTCGTATTTCCACAGTGAGTGAATAGTTCTTGACGAGCCCGTGAGCGCGGAGTCTCTCGTCCCTGTCCTGGACCCGACTGGGTCCGGCTGGGGATTCAACAAAATAATTTTGGTCAGACGTCGATTAGGCTCTCGATGCCAACGTAGATGTAGATGTTAGACGCGATGCAATCATTGATACTGTGATGCTAGCTCGATCTCCAGTGCGCTTCCACCGTCCGCTCCACTGAGGATGATTGTCATCAGAATACGTACGCTGGTCCGGGTCGGTCGAATTCAGGAAGTTCAATGGATCGGCCACCGACGATAGCAGAAGTTGGAGAGAATTCTCAAGCTCGGTCAGACTTCCCTCCATGGTGTCCCGATTTTCGTCGAATTGGTCGCAAATATTCTGCGCTCGTTCTTTCTGCGATGAAGATTTACGCTGCGTTACAGTCCTGTTCCTCGCGCTTGAGGAATGATCCTAGGTGCATTCGGGACGTTGTTTCCGGAAGAGCCTCACCTGCATTCTCTGCATGTATTCATTCGAATGTACAGCCGGTGCCGGATTCCCCACGGTCTCGTTGCTTTGATTCCAATCGAGTCTCTTCAAGTTCTTCAAATAGTTCACCGCGATAGAGAGCGACTTATAGCCTCTATGGAATTTCGCGTGCCATTCCTTGACGAAACGAAGAGTCAGGGCTTTGAGCTCTCTGGCGACCGGAACAGGTTTCGGAAGGGGATTGTCCGGATTCGTTTCCACGGTGTGCTCGAGGAAGATCTGTATCAAATGTATTGAGCGCAAATACAATAAATTGAAGCTGGCAATGATCAATCGACCGGCGCAGGATCGAGCCCGCACGCTTCAAAAAGAGGTTTTCATCGTTTCACTACGTGTCGACGTCAAAGAAAGCTGACCTGGAATTGGTCGAGGAGCAGGGTTCGGAATACGTGAGATCGATTGAAGAGCTCATTGATGATCGATACCGCACTTCTTCGTATTTCGGCGTGGTCTTTTTCCAATTGGGTCATCAGCAGGTAACACGCCTGTTGCAGGGAATCATCGGAGGATCTATTGGATCACAAATGGAAAAGGGAATGGTTTGAACCGGTGTTTGGGTCTAACATCCTCCTCTCGAAAGATCAGAACTCTCCCCTCGAGATGCGAGGGTCAAGTACTCGTGCGCTCGCATCATCATCCGACTATTCCCCAGAATGATTTTTTTTCCTTCGCCCGGTGTCCAACGCAAAAAGTCATCGACGGCATTCCGCTCCGCATTCTCGTCCACGAGCCCAAGAGCATTCCGTCTACGAGACCTCGGATGCTTAGGCGTCGACTCACTTCACAAGGGTTTTGAGCTCCTTCATTTTGTTCTTATCGAGTTCCTTCCGCCCCGTGGTCGTCAGCTCCTCGATCAGAGAGCCGAGCCCAGCTCGTTCTTCAGCCATCTGTAACCCGGAAAGAAGACACTCAGGATCTTTTGCAATATATTATGGGCGATGATTTATTGGATCGTGATTTCCCTTCGCTCTGCCATGGAACACAAGCGTACTATACAGAAAGAAGAGATCCTCATGTGAATCGACCGAGCGTCGAACAAGCTCCTTCCAATTCGTCGGACAGCCCGCACGGCCGCGATCGATGAGCTGTTCCTACATACTTATTGTACAAAGACCGAAGATAGTCTCTTCCTGAAAAATTTGTCCTCCCCGTGAGATCTGTCCGCTACGACTAGCGTATCGACAGCTCTACGAATCGAGTTGATCACATGCTCGTGAAAGCTTGTTTACATCCATCGTATGGCGTATCTTTGACAGAATGAGACTAGCCATCTGCTCAGATCTTCCTCTTGGTCGCAGCGATGACGTGACATCGAGGTGATACGGTGGGTTCGAATAGCGGAATGTAATCCACTTCATGTCCGGCTTCGAGCAAATACATAACCCGATCCATGTGCAGAATGCTCTCTATGGTTGGGGCTATGCAGAGCCGCAGAGCGAAAAACGTCGCCACTCGCATCCATTGACTGAGATAGTCCCTGATTTCCTGAGACGAAAATAATTCCACCGGGATATTGTGCTGAACTCTCTTCAAGGCTCTGGGTGCGTAGTCTTCGAAAGTCATCCCTTCGACGAACTTCACCGTCGACAATGAGGTGTGCTTCAGTTCGGGATGGTGTCTATCAATTAGAACTTCGAGTGCGGCTCTGAAGGAGTGGATCTGGCCTTTGAACAAACTCTCCTCGAGAAGTTTCGTAACGTAGATTTCAATGGAGTGACAAGCTACCTCTTTGGCCTCGTAGCTGAGTGTCTGCGAGGACAAAGCAGCGCTCAACGGATACAGATGATGCATTTTGTGATAACAGCAACCGACAGACACCAAGGCTTTGACTTGTGAGCTTTCGGCGAAGAGGCGGAACATCGTCGGACCCAGATCTCCGCAGGTGTGCAATCCTATCAAACCAAAATTGATGTCGGTGTCTTCCCAAGCGTGTTTGGTCACGTATTCGACGTCCTCGGCCGCCGTCGACACTCCGATAAGTCTTTCGAGATGCACCGGCGGTCGGAAAACGTCTTTCACAACTTTCTCGCGATACTTGAGCCTGCCGAAATCTCGAGTGACTTTGTTGTCGAACACCTGCGCCTTCTCGACCAATATCCCTTCCGCATCCAGGGTGGCCACCTGCATCCCGTAACCGAAACAGAGCAGGCGGGAGAGATGGCCCTGACCGCCGCCGACGTCGAGTACGTGCCGGACCCGGGCGTTCTCGAACAAACCGGTGGCCATTTTCGCTAGACGACCGATTTCGTGACGTTTCTTGCCCTTCATGTGACGCTTGAAGGCGCTGGTCAGGGGGTATTTCGTGTCTTCGAAGGCGTAGTTGTCCATTTCTACAGGTTCCGCAACGAATATAGACTGTCGACTGAGAGGAAGAGTTTTGCATAGCTTCAGGAAGCAGAGGAATGACAAGGGCGAGACTTTCCGGAAACGAGGTCTCCCGTTGAGGAAATCGGCGATCTGAGGGATCGAGATATGTTCGAGGACAGTCGTCCACGTTTCCGGGACCAGTTCCCAGTGATTCTTGAGGAAGAAATCCAAAACGAAGGCGTCGATGAGCCACTGGAACTCTCCGAGGAAATCACAGAGCATTTTCGAATACCGTCGGAGCATCGGCAGGTCGTCCACGGTAAAATGTAGTTTCCTGCCGACCGGCATCGGACCTCCTGGAGGTCTCTTGAAGCTGTGCGGCATTGCAGATTTTCGCAATCACGGGACCGGCACTCTCAGCGGTGTTCTTCTTCGCCTAAACCGGCTGTGGGCCTCGCACGGCCCCCATTCGGATCAGCTGTGCATTTGCCCGAACAAGTCGGGAGCATTTCATCTCTGGCGGAAGCAAGCAGCTTCCGGAGAAATTCCGCAGAAAGTTACCTTGGCTAGCTCATTCCGCTCCTAGTTTTCGAAACGAAATCTCGACCGGACGAACGCGAGGGGTCTCACATCTCACAGTGAACTCGAACGCGATAGAACTTCAGTGTTGTCATCATCATCCTCGGGTCTTCATCGGCGAGGAGGTTTGGCCAGCAAACAGCACAGGCGGTGATGATGCGAATGATCTCTGCTCCTCGGCAGAGTTGTCCGAAGTCGGGCGCACCGCAGCTTCTGCTTCCTACGACGCCAGAGAGCTCGCTGTTTGAGATATGATACATACTTCTCCTCAAAATTCGGCTCTCGGGAATGGCCAGCTCCTGAAGCAATCAATCGGACTAGCAGCTTGGCCCGCGCCACGATCATAATGAAATGATGAGTCTTTCCCGAAATCTCTCCCGTCTGGGCATGGGATCGAGCCTGGAGCGTAAAAACGCACTCGTTTCATGGGATATGTGGAAAAACTAGGGAATGCATCCTCAAATTGAGGAATTGCTGTTCTTTATCAACTCTCATCGTTCGTTGGATAAAGATGACCGGTGCGAATCTTCCGCGCATCACGGAAATCATTAACAGTCATTGAGCGAAATGAATTATTTCTTCTACACGGCTCGAGTTTTCTTCTTCTCCGGTTCTCCGTCGTTCCGCGGTTCGTCCACTTCCATCGGTTTCTCGATATCGACACTGAAGCCCGGAATCTGTGGAGGGACATCGTTCGTATTTTTTCCAGCTGGTCGTCGATTCCACATCGCCCGCGGCATACGCCCCCTCGTCAAGGAGGGTATTTGAAGCCGAACTTACGTGAGGTCTGACCAGCTCAACGACGAGCTTCTGATGTTGAATGTTCGTTCGATCCAGCGACACCCGGACTGTTATGCGTTCAAACTGCCGCAACGTTACATCCCCCGCGGTTTGCGTGCATTTCTCTGCGTCGTAAGTGAACGGCACCTGGAGGACGGAAAGCTCACCTTATCACGGCAATTTCCCAAATCTCGAGTCTTTTGGTGCGCTCATGCATCAAGCCGAGGAAATCGACGTGATGATCATCTTAATTCGCGGAAGAGCCTCTCACCTTGATCCTCTGCTGGCCCCCGGGCTTATCCTTAACGTAAAGCGTACACTCCATACCGTATTTGGGCAGCAGTACCTGCAGAGCGTTCTCACGCACAAACAAGATATAGCCGTCCTCCAAGACATTTTTGTCCCGGAAATAGATTTGCGTGTAGAGTGTGACAGATGCTCGGCCGGCATACTGAGCCATCTTGTGTCTGTAGTTCAAATTATTACAGAGATTCTGGACGCGGACTTTATCCAACAATTCAGGATACGTCGCGTCGGCCCCGATGGCGACCGCCAGCAACCGATGCACGATGAGATCCGAGTACCTGAGGACGAGCGATTTTTTGAACAGAAGATACAGAAGCTCCGAGGTATGCATCGATATCCCCCTTGGCCGGATACCACGCTTGTGCGAATGATGTCAGGCCCTACCTCCGGATGGGGGATGTGAAATGTGTGTAGAACGGCAGGGCGAGTCCATAATGCAAGAAATCTTCTTTCGCAATCGTCCCTGAGCAGAAGTAGATCGCTTGCGACATGCACCGCGTCGCCACCATCCGAAGCATTGTGTTGAAGAACGGATCTGTGTCGATCGAAGCACGATCGAGCGAGTCCGCGAGATGCTTCCCGCAGTCGACCTGGTCGAAAGATCGATTCCGTAAATACGAACATACGTAGGTAAAATAATGACGCCTTTCGCCTCGGACCCCGAGCGTTCTTTGTTGCCAATCCACCGAGCAAGGTAGAAGCTCTTACCTGGATGTCGAAACCTCGGGTCGCAGCCGCTCTCACCAGAGGGTCGAAATTACCAACGGGCGGCACGGGATGCCGACGCAGCAGTGCGCAATGCGACAACTCGTTATAAATGAATTCAGCCACCGATTTGTTCGCGAGCAACATGAACTCCTCCACCATCGAATTTACTTCTCTGCGGAAGAATTCGACTCGGTCAAGGTTGGTCAGGAAATCGCGAAGTGGAGAAGCGCTACATTACCTCTCTTATGAAAGTCTTACTCACAAGAGTTCTTTCGTCTTGACATCGATTGGGTCGTGAGTCTCCGAATCCACTTGGAAGCGGACCTCGGACGATGCAAGGTTGAGAGCTCCGTTCTCCATTCTCTTGAGTTTCATTTTCTTGGCCAATGAATTCAACACACGAAGCCCTGCGAAAATGAGACAATGCAGAATCCGCCTCCGGGCTGAGCTCCGATTTCGGGATGGGAATGACGCTTCAAGCATCACTGACTGAGATTGGAGTATGCCACGTTCCTCGCCTACCTTCTGTAACTTCGTCTTTTCTTGCCTTATCGTCGATTCGAGCCTGGGCTTCGGCGTACGTGAAAGAGTTCTTGCTGCGTATTATACTCTTACAGTATTTAGCCCCGACAACCTTGGCGTCTTCGGTCATCTCGAAGACGGCAGAGAAGGCGAATCTATCGACGTCCGAAATCAGAGAGCACAAGTTGGAGCTCAGCAGGTCGGGGATCATATCGATACGCTGAAGGATTCAAGGAGAGGAACATGGGCATGAGTTCGTTGAAGGGCGTCAGAGCTCGGGATCCATTCAATGGGATTCCAAGTTTCGCGGGGCTTCCCCGTATACATATTTAGATTCGAGATAGAAGGACTACACCGGGGAAATATCCCAGAAGGAAAAAATGATCAGAGACCTGATCGACGAGATAAACAGTTGTTCCTCGAGTTGCAGCCTCTCGATCCAGAGCGGTATGTGGTCTGATGAAATGGGAAACATCGGCGATGTGGACCCCAATCTCGAAGTTCCCGTTCGGTAACGAGCGTGCATGGAGAGCGTCATCGATATCTGTGCAGCCTGGAGGATCGACTGAGCATGTTGGAACAGATCGGAAGTCCTGACGTTTCGATTCATCCTAGAAGAGAAATATTTCTCAATATATGTAGAAGAGCACTCTAAGTTTCGAAATCGAGCCACGCACGGGAATATCGAGATAAGAGGGCCCCGAGCGTTGGATCTTATTTCGCTTCGCTAGTACCCGAGCTCATTATGAGGTCAAGATCGCCACGCTTTGAAGAGATCTCGACTTACCAGGGGAGTTATCAGCCAGGGCATCTTCGGCAGGCAGTTCAGAACTGCCTGGGAGAAGGGCTGATGAGGTATGTCGTGCTCGAGAAGTAGAACTTGATTCTCGACCTTACGATCTCCGATATCACCCAACGTACGAACATAATGTCCCAGTGGGTATCTGGAAGATGCAGCGGGAATTTGACGTCACCTTCCGCGGAGCATCAAATGTGTGCTCACAGAAGAAGAATAGGTAAAGGGAAGGCTTACCGCGAGTGTCGGGGCCAACTATCGATGGCAACCACGATCCGTTTTCCGGTGAGAGCAGCAGCTTGACGAGTCTCAATGCGGATCTGGAACAACGACTCAGATTCAGAACTCTCGAGGACAACGGTAGCTGCGTCGATGAGAAACGTGGAAGGCCACGCAATGAAATTCCGTGCTGTACCTTGGGGATTTTCCTCTCGGCTGCTACAAATAGGTGTTTGGTGGCTTCTTTGATAGCGCTCGGGGCTAGGATGCCGCAATACGGTCTCCATTTGCGTTTCAGGATCCCAACAATCTGGAGAACAATATACGAGATGAGGGTTGTCGGCCCTAATCGCGTAGAGAAGTCCATCATCCGGGTCGCCGATTTGATCTATTACGTTCAATATTTGTGTATGTTCACCTTCCCCGTCGGCATCTTCTCCACGCCCTTTTCGGTTTTGCTTTCCTTGAGCGCCTTCTCCACTTTTTTCTCCCTTTCAACTTCGTCTCCATCATCGTCCTCTTCGTCGACCTGCAATCCAGAAATCCAGTCATCCGGAGGGTCAGATTCCCTCAGGGTCGATTGATGGCCCGCATCGAAGTAGGGAGCTGACGCCTCACCTTGTCGTCCTCTTCCGGCTCGTCTTCGAGGACGACAGACGAAGGACAGACCCATTCGCTCTCTGGAAGTATCTCAACGACAACAGTGTCATCTTGTACGGCCCTGGGAGGAATATTAGTTGATTACTAACCACAACATTATGGGTTTTCGTTCTAAGAAACATTGGCCCCTGTCATGTCTTCACAATTCCATATTCTTCATCAGTCATCAGGAAAATGGTATTGTCTCATTGTCAGTCAGAGGAAAATATTTTCGAGTAGAGCTCATCGACTGCGTGTGCGAAGAGGGTGGGGTTTGATCGAGGATACCGAGACGGGTCGATAAAAAAATCTCACCTGTTGAGATTCATCAATCCCTGGATGAGAACCCTATCGGATTCGTCCTCATTGTCGCCTAAGCAAACGAAACCTTCGAGGTAGTTGTCCCTGGAGGCCATGAATTTCCCTGACCGCAACCGTCCGCTCTTGATCCCAGCTTGGAGAGCGATCGGCGTCAAGTGCTCAGGGTACATGAACTTCTTCTTGTTCGTGACGGGGTCTCCCTGTCGGTCGGAAACATTTTTTCAATCGAGCCTCCCCGGGATGAGTTCAAGGCGACCCGTCACAGACCGACGAGTCGAGTTGACGAGGCCGAGAAGATCGACGGATGAAATTATGCCGGATATTCACCTCGGATGAGCCATCAGCATCGATTGAAATTTTATCGAGCAATTCCGGTTTGCCCATCCCTCCGACGTACTCCTTCAACGAGAAGGCGGTCAAGCCTTCTTTCTTCGCTGAATTCAGACACTCTCTGTCGTTTGTCAACAGAACTACTTCAATTGATAGCCCTTGCTCAGCGAGATGTGACTGTAGATAGCCGACCACCCGACGGATCGCTCGATCATTGCGATCGTTGGCGGACTCGCCCGGAAGTCGCTCCACATATGTGTCTCTGGAGGGGGAAGTAATTGATTGGTGAAACCATGGCGATATACCCCCGATCTTCGCATGGGACAGTCCAGGTGCACCGGAGGTGCTTTATGGAGCACAAGATAGGATAGAACTTACTTGTGGTGCTCATTGACGAAGCAGTAGAAGTGTCTTTCCTCAATTGCGAGCATCTCTCGAATCGAGTTGTAGGCCGGCGCATGTCTATGCCGGAGTTCTTGGATCACTGTTTGAGGGACAATGACGTTCCGGAAAGCCTCATCCTTAAGCACGTCAATCTGTCGAAGAGGGAACACTCCACCTTAAGGCAGGTGTTCGGCAGAAAACCTTTTCGGGCACTCTGTCTGTCTACGCTCAACCGTCTAAGGCGCGATGAGGCATCTCGTTCTTTCTAACGACAGGGGACTCGATCTCACTGAATGTCATGTTTCCATCGGACTTGGATTGCTCCAAGTCAGAATTCACTCGACTTCATTCTTCGCAATCCTCTGTACGGCCGCGAAGGCAATGCAAGTAAAAGAACTTTGAGTTGAAGGCATCTCTACCGACATGAATAAAGAATCTGACGATACCTGATGCAGTACGATATTTGTGTCTGGAACAATGTAATGAGCATGCTCGACGACTTTACTCGCACTCTCGAAGTCTTTCTGAAGAGGTCTCGTGCTCTCACTGTCACAGCGACCACAAGCAACCGATCCGCAGCCGATGTCTTCGCGCAGATAGTGTTCTCGGACTATCTTGAGGATATTCCCTCGTTTCGTCTTGCGTAGAAACACTTTTTGCGTCAACATCTCGATGCGGTAATCTTACTCGTACACCGGCTACACGGAAGAAGTCTTTCAAGAATTTCTCAGAGGAATTTCTCCCCCCGAGGGTTTTTTGGGAGACCACTTATGGAGTTCCGCGTTTTCCTGCCTAGCCTTCGGTGGCCACATGTGGATCGTGTTTTGAAAGAATCGAAACCCGGGTGAGAGAGGAGAACGTCATCGCGTGCTCGCTCAACTCTCTCTCGTGGCCGTCGCTGAGAGAATCATCGTCTGCTCCGAGCGCGAACGCGCGCGAATATTCTTCGATATATAGATGTGTCTGATCCGGGGGCGGTGTATCATGAATGAAAGTGTGCCGATTCAACGGCGAATGAGTGAATTTATTCCAGAGCATGAAATTCCCAGTCTTCCGTCGGGAAATGTATATTATCTTATCCATCTGAGAGCGTCACGTATTCGTAAGTCGGCGAAGCCTGTGGTGAGGTAATCGGCGCCGCGGTAGGCGCGAAATTGGGGGCGTTGGTTGACACCGAGCTGGCCCCGGCGATAGCCTGTTGACGCTTCAAGGCCGAGAGAATCCGATCCTGGATGACTTGAGCGTCTTCGGTGACACAGAATCCTGCCCTGCATCGTCCTGTGAGAGAGGAGCCGATTGGAGGGATATTTCTCCGGAGGAATCATTGCCGACTCCCGGATCAGCACATTTGATAATTATAATGATTTGGAACCAGTACCATCCACGCTCTGCTCCGCCCCGAACACGAATACATCGCTCGATCGCTGTACGCTCAGATGACATCGGCTCCCGTCTGGTTTGTTCCTGTTCAGAACACGACTCGGAAGGTGGAAATTAACCGAACCTGTGCACGTCGAGGGGTTTATTCATCGAGAGTGGTTCGATGAGAGCCGAGCAGACATGATCGGAATCGACGTGAATCGACAAAGCGAAAAACTTCTCACCTATGGAGCCATGAACTCGGCAAGACGCTCTGCATTGATGGACATAACTCCCCGGGTGATGGCCTCCATGCATAACGGGCGTTTCGAAGCGCTCGCATCGTTCTTGGTTCCTCGATTCCGCAGGGGAAAGTTTCACCGCGAAAGGGAGCTTTTTCAAATCTTCTGAGCTCTCGACGTTGACGACGGTGCTACCGAAAGTCATGTATTCGTTGAACAAGAGATCACGACGACGGTCCCTCATCTCTTGGAAGCTCAGAGGTAAGCATTCACAGTTCTCGGAGCATTGACCATATTCGGTGGTGGCGTTCAGGCGCTCGCGGTCTTCGAATCGCACCTTGCAGAGATATCCTTGGAGGGAGACAGAGACAATGATCGAGCGAAGTTCGGAGCGCTGAGACAACACAACCGTAGCCGCCCACCTTTGTCTCACCGGGAGGTCTGCAATATCCAGTAGGTCTTCTTGAGGTCGAATCCGCAATCCGAAGGTTCCCGAGTCGCCCGCTGAGCTTGCAAACTTGTTGGCAACCGCCTTCCTCAGGAACTCCTATCTCTTCGAAGGGCTCACATTTGTGTGGATCGCGATTTTCTGAAAATGGCAATAGAGACGTTTCTTCGTCCCAGCCCTCGTACTATGTTCTCTACCGAAATACCCGTCCCTGCTCCGAACAAAGAATATTCTGCCTCACGAAATTATGGCATTTCTCGTTCGTCGCAGGAAGGTTTCTGCCCCCGCCTTCTCCTCGAATGAACTGAGCCAATTAAGTCGAAGCAACGCAAAGTTAGAGAGGCTCTGGAAGCTCGCTCCCAACGAGCAAACTGTGGAAACCGGAAGAAGTTCCGACCCTCCGAGATAACTGCTGGAGCACAGTTCCCAACCGAAACCCGCTTATCGAAGCGGCACCGCAGGATCTCGAGTCCTCACGCGATGTCGGGCGTTGGGCTCGATCACCGGACTGGAGCGGGAAACGATCATCCTCCGCTCTCGAGCTCACCGGGAAGCGGGAAGATCAACTCGAGTTCAGGGGCTGCGGCTCGATGATTGGGATGTCTCCTTCGGAAACGAACAGATTCCACACGAATGAGGTTTAGCACCAGGAAACAAAAGAGAGCTCCCCAAGCCGACATCTTGGAACGCGTGCTGTCGGAAGAATCTCAGCCGACTTTTATCGAGTGTTGAAAGAACTGCGCAAATAAGATCGTGTGCGATTTATGTAGACTTAAGAGTTCGCGACGTCGACACGCGAGCTTCTGTTACTTCGGCCTCCCGCTGGATTGATTTTCTCCTGTATTGACGACCGGATACCGCAATCAGAACTATCTTTATTCCAAAGTCGGAGAATTAAAATGTCCGAAAACGAACTCTAATGATGATGGATAGTACTGGAGGAGAACTGTCATGCACGATCCGTGGTTTTTCCCATGAGGATCTGCTGCGATTTATTCTTCAGAAAAATGGTCCACCTCTTCATCGTGATCGATCGATTCCGTGAGGGCGGCGAGGTTTCCAATCAAGGTACATCGTGCGTTGCCTCTGGCGCACGTGCACAGGACGATATTTGGAATCGAGAGCACGGCCGACGATTTGAGAAACGGCATTCCTCCGTGCTGGTCTCCCCCTCTCTGTTTCATACGAAGCGTGTGCTCGCCCAAACTTTTGTGTTCCCTGAGCTTTGTGAATCCTCGAAGAATGAAGAAACGCTTCACAACCCCTCTTGGGCCCCCGTGGCCGCCCAGTGCAGTATTCGGAAACGCTCCCGGGTCCAGTCAACAAACTGAGGAACGAAGACCTTACTCGAGTGGGCTGCGCAGAACTACAGGCATGCTTTCGAACTCATATGCGTCTGCGTCAGACGAAGCGATCGCCTCACCCTATCCCCCTCCATACAGCGGCACGAACGAAGTACAACACCCCGCCAGGCTCTGAGTATTGGCATGTACTCAACTACCCCATCCTCAACCCGCTCGCCAGAACAGGGAATAATCCGCCAGAACAGGAGAGAAACAGGAGCACGAACGAACTTATCCAGCCCTTCACCACGATCACTGAGAGTGAGTTCAAAACTCCGAGCGGAGAAGCAATCCCCGATCTGTATTCAGATTCTGAGCTTTGGTGACCTTACGCGGTGGGTTTTGTGGGTCCTTGAACTCATGACCCGAGGCTGCTGGGCTTCCCTTCCGGAGGAGATTTCTACCCCGATTGCTGGCCTTTCTGATCTCCTTCCCTCTCAGGGAATCGTCCCATCGAAGCTCCGCAGACGGTGACCGATATTCAAGCGGGTCCGAGTGTGGAACCCGTGACCACAATAGAAACGAGCCCGAAGCCTTTGGCTAGGAAACCGGGCAGCCTCTGGAGAGCATTCGAAACGGAGGAGCTACACGAAAATTACCTCAAACGGTTGTTCTTCGGCGTTCCGCAGGGACCGCATGCTCTAAACCCAGCGATGGCGTTCCCGAACCAGAACCTTCTTCTCAATGCAGCTATGCAGCTCCCGACATTTCAAAGTCAGGGATGGATGAGCCCAAGCGGTAGCACATCGTCAGGAGTGGCGAGTCCTCCGCAGAATGTCACGCCACCGTTTAAACCGCAAGACACAGTCGCATCTGAGGCTCATCAACCGGCCGCAGCGTTCCCATTTCTTCCTCCCTGCCCTGCGATTCCAGAGATTCAACTTCAACCTGCTCCAGATGATGAAGAGGACGAAGAAATCGAAGTCGTCGATTTGCTGCCGCCGATAATGCCGGAGCCCGCTCCGGCGACTCCGTTGCCTTATTCCCATCCCGGAGATTTATTGTGGTCGAAAGTTGGTAGCTTTTCGTTCTGGCCCTGCATGGTCATCGGGTGAGGATTCCGCTGCGTTTTCGCGACCGAATCCCCATTTCTGCGAGACCCTCCCAGCTCAATGATTCGTATCTTGCTCCTTTCCAGAGACCCAATAAAGAACCAATACTTCGAAGTGTCGCGGAACCATATCGTGTACTACGTCCAGTACTTCGGAATCGAAGTCAAACATGGTTGGACCGGGAGTCCGCATCGAGTAGTTCCTCACTATGGTCTGGACGCCTTCAGACATTTCGCCGAAGAAAAAGCCGGTGCGGTATGTACCATACCACCGGTACGCAGCGAACTCTCGATTCTCGCTGTCGAATACCGCTGCGGACACCGATCCGACGCGGAGTATGATTTCAACGCTGCTCTTGATTCGATCTACGGAGGGTCTGCGCCGAACGAGCACATTGACTCATGTTGCGGACACTGTCGAGTTCAGCTCGGGAGAACGATTCCCAGAGAACGGCTTTGTCCCCATCAGCCCTGCATGGGAAGCCCCTATCGTCTTCTTATCTCTGTCTTACCAGGTCTTGGCGTGTTGTCCGAGACCCTTCCGCTCGAGGAGGGTGATATCCATGCTCCTGCTTATGATCGTGTTTCGACTTTGGAAGTTTCCGTCCCATGAACGATTTTAAGTCGAAGTTCGCGTTTTTTATTCGAGCTCGAATAATGATTGAGGGCTCAATGCTTCCGGAGCTGATTGTTGACCCTCTTTGCAGAACAAGAGCTTGCGGAAGTTCTACAACGTGGACATGAAGCGATTAAAAGACATGGAGCTGAATTGGATCCAAGCCTTGAAAGAGGTCGACGAGGCCGAGAAGATTGTACCGAACTCGGTACGGTACCAGGCGCTGAGGTTCGACTTCTATTCACCACCGAGCAAGAAGAAAAGCGTCAGAAGTTCTTCGGCCGGAGGCGCGTCAACCTCCAGATCCAGCTCTGGGTCCAAGCCTCGTCTCGTTCCTGTCAATAACCCTCAGAAGGACACAGGAGCAGCACCTTGTCCAGCCCGCAAGAAAGCGGGAGCGGCCATGAGGAAAATCGATTTTAATAATAACAATAACACTGGAGGGCTTCCCTGACCCTTGTGAGTTGAATGATTTTATACAGAGCTTCACACAAATCTATTCAACAAGAACCGGAAGAGATAGTCGTATGAGGCTCGGATCAAGGACTCAATTATTGTGTATGATTTTCTCTGGAGGGCCCCGACGGAGCGAATAAGCACGACTTCTAATAAATACTGCCGGTGGGTGCTTCCCCGAATATCGGGAACATCTCGAGTGCAACACTTACCCTAAGCTTGACTTATCTGAATGGGAAAGAGTTCGATGACTTCTTTATGTCACTTCAGCGGATAGACTGAACCCCCTTGCTATTCCAACCCGCTCGCTCCATGGTGTCTGTCTCGGGGAGGAGTCCATCGGCATGGCGAGCTCCAACCGATTTGTTCGAAATGATCCCGATGGATATTGTCCTCGAGCTTGAATTTCGTAGACGCCAAGAGATACAGAAGCGCTCCGATATGAAATTGTGGTCAACCACGGGGATAATCTCGCTGTGGAGCTTTTGGGATTTGTACGACCATCGTTAGGGCGTGACTCATCATTTCCGGTAGGAACTCGTTCTAGCCGCTGCGAAGCTGCTGGCTCCGACTGCTCCAAGTCAGTTGCGATCCATTGCAGATGAAGCTGGCATTTTCCGGTTCGATCCGCTCAGCTGAGCTCACAACCATGCTCACGATGCCGATAGAGGGCTTGCACGGAAGACCGCTACGTACTGCGAGCTGCGAGCGAGGAATTTAATTTTCCCGCGTCCTCTAAGGTCAGGACCTAATCAAGCGAAACTGGGAATATAGCTCACCTGCTGGTTACAGCCTCTCCGACTCGATCGCGGGAAGGTTTCGGAGTGAAGGACTGATCTAAAAATTTTAGGGCTCTAGACTTATCAGTAACTTTTCATTTATAGCCTGCCGAAATCTTCAGACAGAAGGTGCCAAAGGGATTCATGGACATCTCAGAGTCAAGGTCGAGTTCGCACGCTCGAGCAGCACGAGAGTCCATGACTTGATCATTGACCATCGCTCGATAGGCAATTTGTCCTCGCCATCTCTTCCACCGCATCTCCTCTCATCCGACCAGGAACGGAGTTGATCGGAGCGGCGGGCTCCACGCAGATCCGATCTATCTAAATGATACGATCCTGATGAATATGCTGCTCAAACTTGAACTGTCAGGACGCTGGACGGATCAACTCGTTACGGCGATTATGGGATTTGCTCGAGTTGGGGCGTGACTCATCATTTCCGGAAGGAACTCGTTCCAGCCGCCGCCGCAGAGCTGCCGCCAGTCGGGAGCGATCCGATCCAGATCCAGCCGGTATTGGAGGCTCGGATCCCCACGTCAAAGGTCCGCAAGGGTAAATGATTGAACACTCAGCGCATGAACTGTTTCTCTCAGCTTTTGGCGTCCGCCTCCCTCCCCACAGCTTACGTCTCAGGATAGACTTTATTGGAAGGGTGAGCTCCACGTGGATCCGATCGATTCCACCGAAGCTGGATCTATCGTAACCGTAGGCGCCTATATAAGTTCATAATTCCGAATCGTAATATCCATGACGCCTGAATTCAATGGCCAATCTGATGGCTCGATGATACAGGAGCCGAGCTTGCACTCGACATGGGGGGATCAAGAAGCTATGGCGTCCAAGGGATCAATGCGGTCCATCGAGCGTGGTTCATGGTTGCGGGAGGGAACTTGTTCTATCCGCCGCGTAGCCGTTTGGTCCGACTGCGTCCACTCAACTGCGATTTGATCCAGATCCAGGAGGTTCTTCCCGGATTTATCGGCCTAACTAAGCTCGCCGTCAAGTTCACGCTCCTAATTCGAAAGTTTGAAGCGAATAACGCTTTTTGCTAAAATCGAAGAATTTTTTTTCTCTGCATCCGAGGACTCTCCGAGAGGTGCGGTCGGAGGGACGAGGATCCGCAGAAGACCTCGGATTCATAGACCGATCCAGAGGTCAGGATCAGGGGATGAACCCGTTCCAGCAACTGATCGCGAGAGTCGCTCAAGCCGGAAACTTGACACTCGACCGAACGTGTCCGATCGCATCGTGGAACGCTGCTGGTGGGACTTCCCTACGAAACGCGCATGTGGAGCCGTCGCTAGTTTATTTTGGTTTTCAGTTTCTCCCACCATTATTGGTGCGCCCAGAGAGCAAGATGAATAGTTGTTCTCTAATCGATATGGACACGAGCACTACAAGCAGCTCTAAGATTAGCCGTTTCAAGAGCTTTCTTCGGAGAAGTTTTTCGCTGTTAAGTGAAAGTTTCGAGGTGAAGAACAGCCCCAAAAGGAACCCGGTCAGACGCGTGCCATCGTTGAAAACGCCGCAGTACTCGAAGCAGGTGAATCTAGCGGTTCGGTCCCCGGATACACCGACGAGAGGGACCACGTTCAGTGATATTCTGTACAGCATCGAACTCCACATGAGCATCGCGCGCTTCCGAATCCTGACAAAAATGAAGTCGGAGGGCCTCTCAGTACCGGACGATAAATTCTACTTCCTCCTCGACGAGCTTCGGAAACAGGTAGACGTTCCCAATATATCGAGCGCTGTTCCGCGCGGAATGATCTCAAGAACCTGAGTACTGACTTCGCGAGGGCCGCGAGAGGATCGCTTCAGATTCGAATTCATCCGAACGTGCTCGAGCCCGACGAGAAATCGAGGACACTTGATTAAATGCTTGCTTCTCTCATACAGGTCTTCGACTTGGCTCGTGACGCCTACCGGAAATTCGGCGAGAAAGTATTCGTTCACGACTTCCTTTACATTGAGAAGGGTCACGATCTCCGGATAATACTCCCTCATAACCAAGATCTTAGCGAGGCCTTGTATAGAAGATGGTGTCAGATAATTAGCGAATTCCGTGAGAGAGCATTCGCGATGAGTGTCCGGAATCTCGGGTAGATGGTCGATCCCGGGGAAACTTGTTCATTTTGTTTGATTCATCATGCGTCGACATCGCTGATCTTTTACTCCTGCCATGTCAGCATGTTTGTTGCGAATTTCCCAGAAGGATCCTTGTTCATACTGTAACATGTTTCACTCTGTTCTGCTCATCGAGAAATTGTACGACTACTGGAGATCACTCGAGGCTATAAAACATTTTTAGGAAACCAAAGAGAATTTCCTAACAACGCTCGCAACGCTGTGCGAGGTCTGAGACTCGGGCTCTTAAGCGGAACTCGTATCACCTTTCGAACCCTGGCCCTCCTCTCATTAGCAGGAGGCGAGAGCTGTCGCTGAGCGCCGTGTCGAGCCCTGCTAGGATCGCTGAAGATTTCCAAGTCGGCCTAAATATTCCGCGAAGAAAACAGTCGATGGGAATGCTCTAGAATCGCACTCCGAGGCTCGATATGGAGAGAATGCGGCTCGAGCGGCTCGTGGAGAGAAGATTTTCTGAATGGTCATTCTAGCAGAACGAGTTCCATGATTACTCGTCACGGGCGGTCGGGAGACTCCTCGGAACCCCTGAGAGATTCACGAGCGTGGCATCGCGGAGTTCATCCTATCGACAATCAGCTCCCAATGTGATGTTTTTTCGGTCGGGAATCAGGTACGGGGGACTCTGTGGGACGACTCGCGCTCCCAAAAATCCGGCAGGCGTTCGTCGCGACTCCTTCCCAGGGCCCGGATTCCCAGGGCGGACGAGTCGGTAGGACAGCTTAGAGGGTTCACAATTTCATCCACAATTTCAGCTCTCTCTCAGGTCCATCCTTCCACGAATTCGTACAGGTACATATCTCGAATGAAATCATTCGATCCGACACGATGAACGTTTGATAGGGAGTCATGGCGAGTCTATGGAATCGCATATACATGCTGCTCATACGGTCGAGCTTGATCCAATCATATTTGAGGTGATTCAAAATTACTCTAGCCGTAACCGTGAGCCCAACCGTTTATCGGTAGGAAGCCAAAGGGTGGCCGCAGGGACCGTACTCGAATTTAATTCCGAGATCCTCACTCGAATTTGGCGGGCTCGATGGACGGACGGCTGACGAGACGAGCAGCGGCAGCAGAGGACACACTGCCGAAACAACAACACAGAAAGGCGGGCGGCGGCGGGGCGGAGGCAGGCGAGGGTTTTTTTTCTGCGATCTGTCTGCATATTTATATAGTGAAGGTGCTGCTGCTACCGCCGTTGTTGCTATTGCGCTTGCTCACCGAGAACAGTTTCTTTCTGCCCCTGTTCTCCGCCGCGAAAGAACTGTACGGTGACGGCACAATTTTAGCGAGAGGCTCTTCTCGGGTTTCGTACCGAGTCTCTGGTCGATTGGCAGCCGGCGAGGCAAAGGGACAGAGGATTGAAGTGCGCTCCAAAACGATTTAAGATGTTCGGTCAACAGCAGAACAAGCCGTTTGGATTCGGCACCAGCTCATTCGGACAGAGCACAGGCTTCGGACAACGTGAGTAACATGCACATTTTCGACTCTATCTGTTACAAGATCCGATCGCCGATTTCGCTCATCGGACATTCGATGCTTCGTGGTCTCAGTGCTCCCGTGAGATATGTCGCTCCAAAGCCTCTCGAGGCTCGTTCCCATCATTCCGATGGCTATTTTGGATTGTGGCTCGAGAAAGGCTCTCACGCTCCCGCGCTTCAGCCCCCGAGTTTCCATCAAATGCTCTCTCCCCGATCACAGGAAAAGAGTGACGCTAAGCGATAGGGATCGGGCTATTTTCACACATGAAGTCTGCTGCTGCTGCTGCGTGGAGAGCGCTTGGGGCTGTCGGGAGCATTCCCGAGAGAACCAGGGGGCAATAAAGACCATGACGCGAGTCCGTTCTCCACAATTTGCGGGATATCTGGTCGAATCTGGTGAAACGATGCGGGCAGCACGTCGGAACCAGCCCCCAGAGTTTTCTAATGCGTTTTCGATTCCCTCGTACGAAACGGAGAAAAATAACGCGGACGATCTTGCGAACTCAGGGAATCGGATGGCCCCGATATCTGGGCACTCCATTCACTCGAAACGAAAATAAATTCGTGAATGCTGTATCAGAAAATTTGAATTATCATGAACGATCTAAATCCCAACTCGATGTTTCGATTTTAGCTCAAACGTCAGTTTTTGGACAAACTTCGACATTCGGTACGCCAGCCACACAAAGTGGAGGATTGTTCGGTCAGAGTACAAGTACGTTCGGAGCTCCGCAACAGCCCCAACAGAACACATCATTTTTTGGAAGTAAGTTTTAGTCTTGGGGCGGATGCTGCTCCGAGAGAACTCACTCACCTGCATCATCATCGTCTTTTTTCATTCGGGATGCGTGGTCGTGGCGAACCGAGGACTCGCCATGGGTTGTCGACTTCGTGCAGCCGAGCGCGATCTCTGCGTTGTGTATCTCCGCCGATTCAGCGACTTGATTGATGATTTACGGGGCTCAATATAATTAATTTATAGGTACTCAGCCGAGCACCCAGTCGTCTCTCTTCGGTCAACCTCAGCAGACGCAAACGCAAGCCAATGCCTTTGGAACATCCGCCTTCGGCAGTCAGAACCGGCCGACCTTTGGGGGCTTCGGTAGCACGACAACATCGACAGCGGGCACGAGCCTTTTCGGCCAACAGAATACGACTACGACTGGAAGTGAGTTCCATCGAGGAAACCACAAAGATCTGTCGACTCCAGGATCGGAGTATTGTTGCTAACAGGGACGTCTTCCAGGTCTTTTCGGTCAGGCCCCTGCGAACACCAGTGTGTTCGCGCAGTCGGGCTTCGGTGCGGGTTCGAGTGGAATCCCCACCCCTCAGTTCAAGCCAACGATCGGAAACGATACGATGATCAAGAGTGGCACCACTATAAATATTCAGACTAAGCATCAGTGCATCACCTGTATGAAAGAATTCGAGAACAAGTCGATCGAAGAGCTTCGCGTCGATGATTACCTCGCGAATCGCAAGTTCGGAAACCAAAACCAAGCGAGCTCCTTCGGAGCTCCGACCACTTCGAACACTAGCAGTCTATTCGGTCAGACGAACACGAATACCAATACTGGATTTTCATTTACGAACAACAATCAACCTAAGCTGTTTGGAGGCGGGACCGCTTTCGGAGCGCCGACCACACAACGTGAGCCCCCTTACGGGAAACTTCCGCTCTTTTTTCGTATTTCGCCTGGGAACGAGGCAAGATTTTTCCCAGCTGTAGAGGCGGCAAAATTTTCATTTCCGAATTATTTCCCACAGCGACCAGTACATTCGGAACCCCGGCGGCTCCTGGTCCGTTCGGTTCGACGACCTCGACCGCCAATACCTCGGTCTTTGGCCAGAGTAATGCTACTCCCTCATTCGGAGGTTTCGGAAACACCACGGCTCCAAAGCCGGCGTTCGGCTTCAACAACACCGCGACACCCACCGCCACCACGCAGGCAGCAACTCGTAAGTCCCGAAACATTTTCCCCCTCCCCCCGGATCGAATCGTATTCTAGACCCGGGGCTTCTGGAGACCGGAGGATCGTGTAGCAGGGCACGATTCGGGCCCGATTCATGGACGCTTTTCTCCCCGTAGCTTTCGGAGCTCCGAAGCCATTCGGAGCGACCACCCCTGCTTTCGGCACGTCAACGGCGTCACCTTTCGGTGCGACCACTAGTCAAGCTAAGCCGGCGGTCAGTTTCGGAACTCCCACCTTCAACACCAGCAATTTCGGGAACCGAGGTTTCGGAACTACCGGCTCAACGTTCGGAGCTCCAGCGCCGACGAGCTCGACTTTCACTTTCGGACCGACTACCACCACCCAGTCGAATAACATATTCGGGGCGAAACCTACAACGACGAGTGCGCCTTTCTCCTTCACCACGCCCACGACCGGGAGCATGTTCAACTCAGCCCCACCAGCGACCTCTCAACCCTTCGGTTCGTTCGGAACTCCGGCTCTCGGATCGACTTTCGGCGCAACTCCTGGCAGTAAGTGTCTGAATTCCAAATCATTCAGGGGGAGCATCTCCATTCCCGTACCAATCGCCAGGGATCGCTGACAAGACGAGAATCCTTCATTTCAGCAGGTTTCTTCAATTCCTCGGCCACGAACCTCGGGGGTCAGAACCAGTCGTCGAATCTCTCGGACGAGATCGCGCGTAATCGTCAACACATAATGATGATCTCGTTGCCGTTGGGAGGCGATCCGTTCTTCAAATGCGAGGTGAAGAAGGACCCGATCCGGCCAACTTCCCTAGCGGCTCAGAAGTCCATTCTCGAACGCACCGTGAAGCCTAACACTCCACCGGCGCCGAAAGCGAAAGTCATTCCCGTCAATCGAAGTGTCTCGCATGCCTCGCTCTTCGCGGGCTTGGAAGACGGAGACAATAGCGCGCTCGGCCCCAGCCCGAAAATGCTGACCATCCGACCGAAGATGCCCGAATGCTTCAGCTCGCCGTCGATCTTCCAGCCGTCGACTTCGAGGAATACCTCGCTCGAAGTGGAAAAACCACCCGAACCCGCCGCGCTTGCCCAGACCCAAGTTGTCGAGGAGCCCTGCACGAGCAGCCCACCGATCCACAGCACGCCGTACAATCCGAAGACTCGCCTCCAGTCTCCCGTTCGGCAAGACATGAACCCCATTCCCGAGGAAGAATCCTCGTTGCAATTGGCTCCGGAGAAATCGATTCTCCATGGCACTGAGGAGCCGAGCCCGGAGAATGAGAACTCGATCGGGGTGAAATGCACCAGACACGATTATTATACGAAGCCGGCGTTGAACACGCTCAAACTCGACAGGAACGGCGACTGCTTTGTTGAAAACTTCATCATTGGCCGGAAAGACTTCGGCCACATGGTTGTTCTGGGCAAGATGAATATCGCGAACCTGAACATCGATGAGACCGTTCTTTTCCGTCGGAAGGAAATCACCGTGTATCCGGACGAATCCAATAAGCCCCCGGTCGGTCAAGGTCTGAACCGAAAAGCCGAAATCACCCTGGAGTCCGTTTACCCTCTCAACAGGGGCACTCGTGACGTCATGAGGAATCCCCAGCAGCTCATCGACTCGAAATTCCGAGATAAATTGGAGAGCTATACCCTCAAGATGGGGGCGATTTTCCTCGACTACGACGAGTACACAGGTGTCTGGGTGTTCCGAGTAGATCATTTCAGTCGGTACGGACTCCTCGACGATGACGACGATGACGTGGACGGCGGCAGGGATGTTGCGATGACCGAAACAAGACCCCTCCAGACACTGTTGACTCCGGCGGTGGTCCCGAACCCCAAGGAGAAACAGCCGCGTCAATCGATGGACATCACTCAGGTCGAGATGCCGTCGAACTACATTTTCTCGCCTGCTTCGATCCAGGTGCGTAATGACGCTCACTCAGTAGTTTAGTCTACCGAGAGAGGTTTCAGCCGAGGCGACTCTCAACACGAGACGTTCGTGATCGGTTCCGGAGATTGTGGGTCGGGATCGTTCGGTTTCTGTAGTCAACGGCGTCGTTGCTCTCATGCCGCTCTTTCTCGTCTGAACTCGATGACTGAAGGCGAAGCTATTTTGTGAGCTGTTTCTGCCGGGACGAATCATTCTCAGGACAATTCACGTTCGACGAGGACGAACTCGTTGTTGACTTAAGCGTAGAGCGTAATAATCTAGGAGAAACTTGTGAAGACTACGGTCAAAGTGGATGCTCTATCAGAATTCCTTTTAATTTACACAGTTCGGAGGGACGCAAGGAGTTTGATTTAAGATTGAACAATTTTAAGCGTAATAAATCTCTACCGAAACTCTGTCTCTCGAGACTCCCCATTAGGAGTCAATTTTATTCCTTGAAAGGTTCTCACTCCCGCGGACAGCTTTGAGAACAATGTCGAGAATCGGCCATAAACCCAATCGCCTCAGCTTGAACCCGATTCGCCCCAACAATGACCCTCAATAATGATCTTCGGATTGCGATGTCCGATATGCCTGAGTATACGACGTCGGTTGGATATAGTGTTAGCCTCAACCCATATAAAGCAGGCAATCACGGTCCATATATACCGTTTCAGGTATGCCAGGCGATGCAGTTGGACAACAACATGCTCCAGGGGATGAAAGCGTCGTTTTTTGTGGACGAGTGTGACGAGAACGAATACTCGTGGGCCCAGTATCAACCGAAGGTTCCGTCATTCGGAGCTTTCAAACAGAACGAGATTGAGGAGAAGAAGCTCCGCATGAGTCCCCCGCACGACCGAGTTCAAACTCAGATTGCCCTGAGACCGAAGAAACCGTTGCGGGTATCTCTTCAGACAACGGATGAATTCCTGAAGAAGTTCGATAAAATTCCCATGATTCGTCCAGAAATCGACAATCTCGAACAAAATCGGGTGGTGAACGCAGCCGCCGGCTTTCAACGAATCAGCGTTCCGGAGGAACTGTCCGTGTTCTCCAGATACCCGAAGTCGTTCCTGAACGAGCTCGCCACCTGCAATCGCACGAGACTGCGCCCCAGTCTCCATCACTGGACTTTGGTGAGACCGTCGGAAAAAGTCGAGACCCGTTCGTTGAACATCACCATACCGGGCTTCTCTAAAAACGCCTCATCGGTTTGCTTCGAGAGGATCGATATGCTGCCGGCCGAGGAAACTCTCATGGAGATGATGAGCGTTCAATTCGCCAACTCCGAGATGACTGCCGACCTCAATGGAATGCCCCTCTATTCACCGATCAAAGGAGTCGAACTCATGCAGAACCACATCAAACGACTCGAGCGGCACGAAACCATTCTCGAAGTCGAGTTGTCGAACACGTTGCAATTGTGCGACGCTCTCTGGGGGAACGGGGTTTCAGACGTTCTCGATCGAATCGAAACCGAAGCCGCTCGGAAACGCGCGCTTTCGATGTGGATCACCAGGGTCACCGAAGACGTTGTGCGTCAGGAGGTCTCGTCGTCCGAGAACTCGTTGGAGCGTATATTCAGCTACCTCAGCGGACACCAAATTTCAGCAGCTTGTGAAGAAGCGGTGTCCAAAAGTGATTACAACCTGGCCACTATTTTGGCTCAGGCCGCGCACGATCAGACTACGAAGATGATTGTGAGAGAAATGCACGTCGAATGGACCCAATCCAAGAAAGACCTCCACATAAACCCCGAGCGTCTCCGACTCTATGCCGTCATGGCCGGACTCCCGGAGTGGACATTGAGCGATGGGAAACAAGTGAATGTGTGCGAAGGCCTCGACTGGCTCCGGTGTTTCGCTCTGCATTTGTGGTACATATGTCCGTCGAACTTGAGCATCGCCGAGGTTCTGGCCGATTATCTCAAAGCCACCGAAACGTACGCTACACCTCCCGAGGTCAAGCACGGCGAGCGTGAGATGTCCCCACTGCACGTTTGTTTCCAGCTCATGAGTCTCTACACGGACCGGACGAGAAGCATCGATAAAATGCTCTGTCCAGACACTGTCCTGGGCGTTCGCTCCCAACTGGAGTATCGGCATTGCTGGCTGTTGGGACAGGTTCTCCAGAGTCTACAGTATAACGTGCCGTGTATGAAAGAGCTCCACGTACGGATGGCATCACAACTGGAGTCGCAGGGTTTGTGGCAATGGGCCGTTTTCGCTCTATTGCACATCGAAGATGTTCACCAACGACAGAAATACGTCTACGACCTGGTGTGTCGACACGCATCGGCTTCGGTCGAGCTTACAGAGAATGAGACTTTTGTGCAGAATCGGTTGAAGGTCCCGAAAGAAATCCTCTACAAAGCGAAAGCCCTCCGAGCGAGTTTCGAGCAGCGACGAGTCAACCAGACGAAGCTTCTGATCCTCGCCGACGAGTTGAACGAGGCCCATGAAATCCTCGTCAACCATATCGCAGTGAAAGCCATCATTAACGAACAGTTTGATCTGTTGCGGGATCTCCTCCACAAAATGAGTCAGAACTTCACGAAAATTCAGTCCTGGAACCAGAAGGGCCGTGTCTACTACAACTACATCCAACTGAGGAGCATTTTGAAAGACATCCTTGACACCAAAGAGGACGAAGAGGCTATTGAACGAATTTTAGAAGGAAAGTATCTCGAAGGAGTGTTGGCTTCGTTGTCTTCGAAATTAGCCCGGCTGCCGAGGGACACGGTCGAGCAGAGACTCTGTCAAATCGAAATGGCAAAAACCACTTTCGCGGCCTACAAGAACGTTCTGACTTCCAAGAGCGCGTCCGATCCACATTTGAAGAACAGCGCCGTACGGGCCGTATTCCAGCTTTTGCGTACGTTGCCGTTACCCGAAGATACTGTCGCTCAGGAGTTCAGGAGACTGTCCGAAGAGTATCCTGAGTACTTGCCGAGAGATTGAGTGCCAGTCCAATGCGTCGGTGAGAGAGAGTAATAATATCTGAGGCGTGTATGAGAACCGAGATCTAGTTCACAACACGAATCCGTTCAGGATCGGGTCATCTGAGAAGGTAGTTCGGAAAACTCAGAGAGAGGGAGACGGCTGTTGAGAGTTGTAGAGAGTGCTCCGAGGCTCAGAAGACTACCGATGATCAACGTAGTGTATTTTTACCCCTTACAAATCATCAATCCTGGAGCTCGACGGGCTGTTTTCACTAATAAAACCTTTTCGGAGGCTCTCATTTTAATGGATGAACAACACAGTCTCCGATTCCTTCCGCATGCGAGTACGAGAAGCTTCGGAAGAGGAGAACTTCTTCGACAACAACACCTGTGCTAGCAAGAACTAATGGAGTATATTGTTCCTCATTTCACAATCCATTCGATTCTCGGGAAGCGAGATGCTGATCGAAATCGAAATCTGGAAATAAATGGATGCGAGTTCGGCTGAGACAAATCGATCTCTCCTTTCGTGTAGAGCGCTTTTCTTTAATCCACCACCTAGGTCGTTGCAGAGCGCGGGAAAATATCGATCATATTAACTTTCTTTATTGTTCATATTATTACCACGATAGAGAAGAAAATCTGGCAAGAAACGCTTCCTTTATTCAATCACAACTCCGAGTCACTCGTCGTTATCGTCAAATGATGCAAGTCTAAATCGACCTCGCTACACAGGAGCACCCCACCGTGTTGTTGTATTTACAAGAAAATAGAACTAGGTCATCCTCGAATAAAGATCGTGTTAGCAAAGCACCCACTGACCTCCGCAGGGGCAACTCCGGAGCCAACGCTGTTCCCACGCCCTCATGGCGCTCAGTTTGACGCTTGATCGGAGCATCGACAAGCTGAAGCATCGTGTGCATTTACGCACTTTCTCAACATGTTTGCCGAGAGAAATATGCCGCACAATATCCGTGTGCGACGATGTCCGTACGCAGCCCTCTACGGTGTCTGCAGATTTATGGTTATGGCTCCGTACATAATCTGGGAAAGCGTGGAATTCCAGTGCGAGTGGGAGAGGTTGAACGAACAACGCCGGACCACATATTCCCTCGGGCGAAGTGCTGCCGAGGTCCAGCGAGGGGATGAGAATTTGCGACGGCAGCACACTACAGTCCTCGAGCAGCGACGAGTCGGGCTCCGAGCCGTGATTCATGAGCGTCTTCGTCAGGAGCCGGAAAAGAGTACCGAGGACATCACAATTTTCCGCCATTTTCGTATAGACCGGCAGACAACTTTCGCTAATCAAACCCCAAATACGGAAAATCACTAGGAGCTCTCGAATGGCATTGATGCTCTTGGCGTCCGAGATCAGTCCCCCTCCGGGAAATCGTTGGTGCTGGTAAACTTGCAGAGGGAACGACGCCATCAGGTGGAGAGCGAGGTCCGTGACCCATTGAACGTGGTGTTGAACCGACGGGAGAATAGCGGGCTCCACGAAGAACTCCTTCGTGTCGAGAGTCGTCAGAGCTCTTTCGATGGTATTGGTGACCTGCGCTCTATCGTTGATCAGGCTCGAGAGCGTGTCGGTCGGCGCTCCTTCGGGTTTCGTTTCTCGAGGTCGCAGAAGACCCTTGATAACACAGCTGACGGCCGCCAGCATCATCTGCGCATGGCAGTCACCAGCTTTTACGAAACCCGTGATGAGTAGTCTGTAGAGGCTACCCTTCAACGCTAGGAAACGACTGTGAAAGAATTGTTGAACGCCTTCGGGCTGTTTCTCGAATACTTCGCAGAGTTTCTCAGAAACCTTCTCTATCAGACCCGGTCTCAGGCTGATCAGAACGTCCCACCAATCCACGCCGGTGATCAGACAATATTCGAGAACAGTGGCCGCGTAGGCCGCGCTCATCGGAGCCCCTGGTTCCGTGATAGGCGAAAGTCTGTAGAGGGAGATCTGCGAGAGACTATCCACCGTTATCAGCACGCATCCCGTGTGGCTCAAGCACATATCGCCCATCTGAGCGTGCTGCTGATTCTTGACCGCGTGTGGGCTCGACAGCGTCGGAATACTTTGGATGCAGGCCAGCTTATCTCGGGCGAAGCATTTGACTGTGTGATCCTTGAAGGCGATCAGGATGTACGACGGGGGAGGACTCAGCTCGAACAGACAAAGCCGGGGGGTCGCCATGGCGGTCACGGCGGAACTGTGGGTGGAGATCGCGTGCAATTGCCATCCGACAGTGAGTTTGTTGTCGGCTTCGCCGAGTTTGGGGTGGACGCTGACGGTCTTCTCGCGGAGTTCCCACAGCTCAACGATACCCTGTTGCCCGTTGGTCACGGACACGACAACTCCATCGGCAGCTTCCTTCAATATGAAGCGTAGGTGGGTCACGCGTTGGTAAGCTTCTTCTTTTTGCGAATCCAGGTACAAACTAGAGAAGGGTTGACAGCTGACTTCGCATTTGTCCTGGTTCATCTTTAAATTTATGCGGAAGAAGTGTACGGCGGACTGGACGAGCCCATCGCTCGTCACCACGAGGAAGTCTCCATTTTTCCCATAACAGAGATCGACAAGTTGGAGGCGATGTCGGAACTTCGTCAAGGGTTGCGATGCTGAAACCACGGATTCCTCTCCGCAGATGACGACAACACAGACCAGCCCCGAAGCACTGACCGTCAAACATCCCTCGCAGGGTTTGCCACCCATGCGTCGCATCGAGGGACCGAACTTTAGATGAGCGTACTTCTCGAGGTACAAAGGACTCTCCTTCTTATCCGGATGAACTGCAACTTTCTTCCCGCTATGGAACCAGGCACCGGCGATGATGTGCTCGCCCGGAAACTCGGTCCGGGAAATCAGAGTCCAATCGTTGAGGAGGAAATTCCGCATCTGGAACATGAGGATCGTTCCCGTCGCATCGGCAATCATCAACCGAGTTCCACTCGGATCCCACTCGATACAGGTGATCTCCTCGGTATGGCTGACCACGAAACTCGGCTGCCACGGTGTGTTGAGATCGACGACATAGACTCTGAACGACGAAAGCCTTCCCGGACCGTCGAGCGAGTCGGCTGTGAAAGCCAATGTATTGCGAGATGAAACCGAACACTTGAGAACTCGCTCCCTCCATTCGGCGTTCGGGAAAACGGAGGCTTTCCGGAAGACGGAGTAAACTTGCTCCATGGCCGTCTGATTGGGCGCTGCACCTGTAGATCGTCTTCCGCTGAAGATTTATGAACGAGAGAATGTCCGTTCACCACCACAGATCCTTCCTATCGTCCGAGAGAGCCCGGTCCGGAGGTACATCCACTTTTATATGCTTGGTTTCTGCTTGATTTCGAAATCGTTGCTTTCAGCTCTGCGGCAGCCGTCACTAGGCCGGCGGGGCACGCGGAGGCGCGTGCGCCTCTGAGCCCGACTCTTTGTCTGCTCAAGCTCGATGCGGCGCACAAGAGTACGTATTTTACGTTGACGAGGAACTCATACGGAGAGATCGCGGGGTAAAACTATGCGAGAACTCCATTTGGTGACGGCAGGGGAGGGGAGACTGAAAACAATGATGACGATGATCTTTATTGGAACTCCGAGGGCGGGATCGCCTTGCCCTCTCTCCCCGATGCCCGCTCCGATTAATTATTGGTCTTTATAGCGGCTCATCGCATGGAGCCAGGAAGAGCTTGACTCAATCCAGAGCTGCGCGAATAAGTGCGGACGGATTCCCTCAGATGAGCCATCTGATGCCGTGATACAGCTTGTGCCATCTCGGTCTGCTTTGAGCCGAGCTCTCAGACGTGGGCGAGTTCTCCGAAGGGACGTAACGCTCGGAGTGGAGATTTCCAGAAAAAAAAACCTCCTATCGTCGGGCGGCGCGATCAAGGATTCCCAAGCGAAGCATGGAGGCCAGAACGAAGCTCCAGGACAACGGCCCGGTCCTGCTCGGTCTCCCAACAAAGATCATAAGCATCATTGGTCTATATACTACTTTGGGGGGGGGGTTCTTCCGTTTTGCAGTTGTTTCATCTTCGATCCTCCGGCGTATAATTCATGTCATCGCACGCGAGTTTCACCCGGATAGTGCAGAATAGATTTCGAAGGCCTGCTGTCGATAGACCTCCTCCTGCCCGTGTTATCATCTGTGGAAGGGTCTCCGCCTGTCACGTACTCTGCGGATTGTCTGCGGCGCCATTCGATCGCGAAGCAAAATGGCGGATCGTCCACCTGGATCAGCAGCGCTCGCAGCGCCATCGGCGCGCAAAGGACAGGCGATTTCGGAGGAGTACGAATCACGATCACGGATCGCCAGACCCTCGCGATCCAAAATCCGCGAGATGTTGACCCCGCGGTCACTTCTCTGCGTTCAGAATCACAAGCCTTCCAGAAGATGTAGGATCGAGGTCTACGTAGAATTTATCAATCCGATTCGAGATCCTGGGAGAGAAGAATCAAAGATCGCGAAATTCTTCCTGCTGCCCCTTTGTGAGGGTTTCCCGGGAACTGTGACTCTGTTTTTCTAGAATGATTGAAACTTTCATGGCGAGTGCGGCGGCTGAGCTTGGCCAAGCATCGGGAGAAGCGCTTATTCGCTGGAGATGGACCCGCAGACAGCATGCGAGGCTCCACGGCGCGAACATGCAGGTGTAGAGTTAAGAGAGGGTCGAGAAGAACTTTCAGGTCCTAAGCTCAATCAGATAGAATCCCAGGCGTGGACGCGATGCCTGACGATCTGAATCTGGCTATTCCTCGACGGTATTCTCTCAAATGCTCCGACTCTACGATACGACCGTGGCCGTGGCTCTGCATGGGACGACTGCTTTCCTCCTAGAGGTGTCCCACGACATCAGCGGGGGGTCTGAGCTCCCAATAGACGGGAATCCCGATCGGGAGTGGGCGCGTATTCGGTGTTCTTTAGAGACCGTCCCAAAAATTTCCTCCGGTAGCTCACCTGTGAGGGGAATCCCTTCTCGCAGGAGTGGCTAAGATCGGGTTCCTTATCAAATCAGTGACTCCCGGCAGAGAGCCTTCCCTGACCCGTATCATGCTCTATCTAAATTATGGTCGTTTTCGACTACGCACCTGAGCGAGCGGCATGAGTGGAGACATCAAGGGTGCCCCCACTCTCAGCCGTATACGGTTCTTTAGTACCTGCTTTCATCCTTTGCCTCGATGCAATCGATCGCGGACCACAGTTAGTCTTGCAAGCATAAGGAGAATGATGACGCAATACCAAACTTCGGAGTGCGTGAGCCTCCATCGGCCTCTGAAGTGTGGCACCCCGTGACATAACTTCACGAGGATGACGCATACCAGAGGTTTCCACAATGATTTATTCCGGAGTGATTTTTTTTGTGTCGTTTATTCGAACGATCAACCGCGCGTCAGACCGGGGTCGTGTCTAATCCATTCGCGAGATGAGTTTCGTGACGAGATCCTGCAAAACCTTTCGCCTTTGATTCCCGGTTTCGAGAACTTCTTCGTGGTTCGCGAACTGAGTTGTTTCGTAGTCGGCGACGCACTCGTTGCTGATCAAGGAGAGGCCTACGGTTTTGAGACCGCAATGCGCTGCCGTGATGACCTCATGGCATGTACTCATTCCGCAAGCATCAGCACCGATAATCCTGAGCATCCGGATTTCGGCAACGGTTTCGAAGTTCGGACCCCCGAGCATGCAGTAAACGCCTTCCCGAATGAACTTCTTGGCGCCGATCTCTAGAGCGATGTCTCGGGCGTGTTTGCGCAGCTCGGGACAGAGAGCATTGTTCATGGCCGGGAAACGGGGTCCCCATCGTTCGTCGTTGGCTCCGTTCAAAGGATTGTTTCCCGCCATGCCCGGGAAATTAATGAAGTCCTTGATGATCATGATGTCCCCGGTTTTGTATTGCGCATTGACTCCTCCGGCGGCATTTGTTACCACGAGATACTTTATTCCAATCAGTTTCATCAAGCGCACAGGCATAGCACATTTCCATAGCGGATATCCTTCGTACGGGTGGAATCGTCCTTGCATGCACACGACGGTTTTCCCGCTCAGTTTACCGAACACGAATCTTCCTTGGTGGCCTTGAACTGTGCTCTGAGGGAAGTCGGGGATGTCCTTGTAATCGACTACTTCACGATCTTGGATGATGTCCGCCAGAGTGCTCAGACCGGAGCCGCAGATGACGAGCACCGTGGGCTTGTGCTTCGTGCGACTGGCGATCACTTCAGAAATTTTCTTCATGTGCTCATAGCTGTAGCACTTCTCTTCGGCCATTTTCGCTAATTGCTGCCCACTCGAAAGTTACGCTGAGGCACGAGCCAATTCCCACGGTCGTCGTTCAGTGAGAGACTGCTTGGCTGGCTCGCTCTCGAATGTCGTTCGGACGCGAAATCGGAATTTCGAGATCCCCTCTCTCTGGGGAAACTCCTCACCACGGAATATAATAACTGTAGAACGAGACGCGGCCCTCGCTAAGAATTATCTCCGTCAGCAGGGAATGACGCTGTAAAGCGGCCACCGTTGGCCCGACCAGGAGCGACAGCAGCAAATGATAGCGATAAGCGATTGCCAGCCTCTAGATAAAATAGAAGACAGCTGTCAGAGATGACTCGGCATTGTCTCGAGCGCTGTTTTTCAGCCGGATGCGAGGTACTTTGACCTCAAAGAATTGCTATGCATTGCCCTGGCTGGTTCGACCTCCCTTTGAAGTTCATTCCGAATGACAGAGTGACTGTGGCGGCTTGCGACAGGCCTCCGGATCCCTCATATGCTTGAGACGACGAAGCGAATAAAATCATTCAGTTTTGTGGTCACACACTCAACGGTATGTCTTCCCTACTCACACGTCGAGGTGCTACAGTGACCACAGCTTCATTCTGTCGACTGCGGCGGTAAAGATATTGGGATGCCGGACAGTGCGCTCATTTTAGTCTCCAAACATTCATTCATCCAGGCCTCACGGACCGACAGCTTACAAACCATCGCTAATCAGGAGTTGCTTTCCGTAAGATATTGAGTCGCTTGACGACGAAATAGCTTCGAAGAGATCGTGACTTCATGAGTGAGCTTATGACTGCTTTGAGAGAGTTCGAGGAGAGCCGAATTGAGATTCGTATAATACCGGGGCTGTTTCGAATCGCAGCGAGGGTCGCTCAGCCACGGAGAGGAAAACTTCGTATGAGAAAAGCGTTGGGAGAGTAAATGAGTGTCACCTCTGCATTCTCCTTCTAATTCTCTTCGGGATTCTCAGTAAGTCCTGTGAAACACACAATTCTCATGAGAGCCGTCCTTCGAGCCAGTCGCACTCTGTACAAGGCGAACTCAGTCAGTCTAACACGGCTTTGTGGTACTTCCATCAAAACCTGAACCCTGTGTCCCATCAAGCATCGATTATTACGAAGAGCCTCCAGAATTCTGTCAGGCGGTTCCGAAGATTTCGCATGCGCCCTCGGGCGCTCGCTCCCTACAATTGATTCGATCACGAGTGGAACAGAAAAGTCACAACTCGATCTGCGTCTGCGGAAGTCACTGTGAGCGGCGGCATGGGGCTCGCGCCGCTCGTCATTTACCCCTCCTCCTCCGAGACGGACGAATAGAAACTATCCGTAGAATTCCGCGTCCTTCCCAGTTCGCTCAATCAGGAAGCCAACATGCGGCATCACGAAAACCTCGCGGAGAGATTGGCGGATTTTCGATCCGGGCTGCCGGGTCCTGGATCGCGATGCTCCGATTTCGATAGCGGCCGTGGGCCATGAACCGCTCCACTCGAAGAATTTAAATTCATCCCAGATGCAGAGCGCCATTGAGTGATAAAGTTCTTGATGCTATCAGGGTAATAATAGTAGTAATATTGCCTAAGAGAGTAAAGTAATGTTGCCTAAGAGAGTAAAGTTCTGGATAATTATTGGGACGAGCCGCAACGCCGCAACCGATGTACCTATTTCCGAGAAAGAGCCCTCGAATCTGGTGCGAATGACAACACTGAACCTGAAAAGTCGATCTGACTCCTCGTGGGCGGTCGCCGAGAGCTCATGACATGGCTGAAATTAACGATTCTCCCCCTGAGAACATAGTTATCGATCGGCGTTATCTTTCGCTCTGCAATATCATAGTCTTTAGTCTATGACGCAATATTTCGCGATTTAAGGCTCCAAAATGTGATGTTGTGACATTTCGATCTGACTCAATCATCAGATGGGTGCACCCGTGCCAACAGATTCTGGTAGGCATGTACATTTCGCATTCGAAGCTTTGTGTCAGATGACGGATCGTCACTATGCTTATTCGGTATTAA